ATTTGCTAATAATTACGTTTAAAGCAATTCGCGCCGCAACCCCGTACGGCCGCAAAAAAAAAGAAAAAAAAAAAAAAAAAAAAGCAAATAATGCAATAACCTTAATAACGCCATTTTTTATTACGGTTTAGCAATAACGTTTAACGTTTTTAAATTGGAAATTAAAAACGTTACTTTTAAAACAAGCTTAATAAACGAAAGTTAGCAAGCTTTTTTCGATACGTATTTATTTAATTAATAAATAACAATTAAAAAAATAATTTAATTATTGCCCGGTTTACAAAATAATTGCAATTACCGTAACGAAAATATTAAAGCGCAATAATTTTTAAAAAAACAAACGGTTGCATTAAAACGAATTACAATAAATTTTAAAATTTTAGCAAAAGCTTAATACGCACCCGTATAAATTTTTTTTAAATAATTTGCTTTTAAAAAAATTAATAAATTATTAAAAAAAAAATTAAAAAAAAAATTCGAAAAATTTGCTTAATAATAAAGCCATTAATATTGCTTGGGTATTTACTTACAAATTTAACGAAAACGGTTACGTTACGGATTATAAATTCCGCGCAATAATTAAAGGTAATTAATAACCCCACGGTTTAAAAAAGATTTACGCTATTACGTTTGCAATTAAAAGCTTTAAAATTATAATAACAATTATGGCTTATTTTAATTTTAAAACGCATTAAATTAACGTTAATAAAGCTTTTTTTTTACGCAAAAATTAATAATAACCATATACCCGTTTACGTAAAGTTTTTTTTTAAATATTACCGAAAAAAGTACGTAACCCGGCTTAAAAAACCTTTGTACGGGTTACGAAATTTACTAAAATTATAATATTTAATTTTCGAAAAAACCTTTAAAAAGCTAAAGCTTATTCCGTTAACAAAAAAGCTTTATTTATTTATTGTTACAAAAAAAACAGTATATACTGTAAAGGAAAGGTTTTAAGCAGAAATAGCAAATGCTTAAAGCATTGGAAAAGCGGTCCCTTTGTTTGAAAGCGTATAAAGCTTTTAAGCATTAGGAAGGAAGCTTAGTAAGCAAAAAAAACGCGGGAATTACGTGTATATAAAGGGCAAAAGCTTTTACGGAACCCTGCACTTCAAATCCCTTTTTCTTTAAAGCATATTAACCGGAATAACCTCACACCGTGCCAATCCCTTCTGCTTGCAACATTTATAAATATAAAACGTAAAGTTTTTTTTTTGTACGTTAACGATATAATTATTTTTAACCGTGCTACGCATTTAAAAATGGCAGCGAAAATATTAAACGGTTTTAAAAAAAAATACAAAATAAAAAAAAAACCATTTAAAGTTTTTTTCGGGGTTTAAATTGTAAAAAACAAAAAAGTACGAACAATAACTTTGCATTACAACTTTTACATCGATAAAATCGTTAATACCTTTAATTTCGGGAATAAAGCGTAAAGCGCTTCCTTTTGCTTAGCCAAACGCTTAAAAAAAATTTGGGGGTAACAATACCCGCCGAAGTTTTGGCCATACAAAAAAAAATCGGGTTTATACTTTATACGGCCATTACTATCCGCTTAAACGTTGCTTTTGCAAGCGCAAAATTTTCCAAATATTTTACAAACCCAAATAAAAAGCATTTAAAAGCGGTAAATTATACCTTTTTGTATTTAAAAAGGTTAAAATTTTATTGCATCCGGTTAAAAAACGTTTTAAAATTTAACCATTTGCTTTTTGCTTTAAACGCTTCCTTTGTTAATAACAAAAAAATAAGGAAATTATTTAAAAAATACGTTATATTTTTATTTGGAAAGCCCGTAACGTAAAAAGCAAAAAAACAAATTACCGTTATAACGTTTATTACAAAAGCAAAGCTTTTAACGCTTATAAAGCTTGGAAAGGAAATTATTATTATGCAAAGGCTTTTCCGAAATTTGCGCTTGGAAATTAATACTTTTTAAAAGCTTTGTTATAACAATATACAAACGATTTAATTGGTAATCGAAAAAAGCATTTGCATTAATACGGTTTTAAAGCACGTAAATATTATAAATATGTAATTACGCTAAAAGTTTTAAAAAAAACGTTCGATGTAATATATTTTAAACCCGCTTTTATGCTAACAAACGGGTTTATTAAAAACTTTCCGCTTTATAAATTTAAAACATTTAAAATTGTTTTAAAATTGCACGATTCCTTTAAAAACGGGTTAGCAAGCTTAATACGCAATTAAAAACTTCGGAGCAAATACCAAAAGCGTATAACGTTTGCATAAAAGCACAACGCAAATTCCTTTTTTATTAATAAATATAAAGCATGCCGGTTTTAAACAATAAAAAAGCATTTAATTATAACGCGTGCAATTTCCAAAAGCGTTGCATTTTTTTTGTTTATTTTTTTTTCATTTTAGCTTTAATTTTTATTTATTATTTAATAAATAAAAGCATTTTTATAAAAAAATAATTTAAATTATTGCGGTTTTAATGCTATTTTTTTAACTTTTTTCGTTATTATTATTATTTTCCTTTTTTTTAAGGTTAAATTACAAAAAGCAAAGTTATTTCGACGGGAAGCTTTTTTGTTTCTTTTTTTGGCCTTATCCTTTTGCTTGCTACCCGGTTTTGGGTAAGGCTTAAAAAAATGGCTTATTATTTTTTAAGCTTTTTAATTTTAAAGCAAAAACCGTTTAAAAGTTCGTTTTAGAATAAAGCGGTTGCAATGCGCAATTAAAGCAAAAAAAAAAGGGTTGCAACGGTAATTGCTTTAAGCACATTAAATATACCGTAAAATACAACCATTTCGAAAAGTGCGCGCTATGGGCTTATTGTTACAAAGGCCCCGGAATTTTGTTAAAAAGCTTTTGGTGCATTTATTGTATGGAACCGCGCGGAAAATGGTATTATTAAAAAAGCTAATTAAAACGTTCCCGTTAAAAAAGGGTTAACGGTTTCGTTAAAAAGGAAAATTAAATAGCATTTTTTTTTAAAAATTAAAACGGAAAAAAAGGTAATTAGCATAAAACCCGCGAAAACGGTTAGGAACGAATTAATTTGGTTATTTATTTTCGTTTTTTTACTTACTTTGCATTTCCGGGTATTGGGGAAAACGACGGGCTTATCGTTATCGTTGTTATTTTTTAAGCAAATTAATTAACAAATTTATTAAAATTAAATTCTATTTTAATCGTTTAACGAACAAACCAATTAAATTTAAACTTTTATTTGGTTTAACCAAAGCGCGAAAAGCACCGGTTAAGTTAAATTAAAAATTGGAAAAAGGCGTGCAAAAAGTAACCGGAATAAACGGAAATTTAAAAACGGGTACGTAAATATTAATCGGGGTTTAATTTAAAAAACGATTTAAAGCTTTTATTTATTTAACGTAAGTACGAGCCCGATTAGCTTTATTTAATTTAACGCGTTTGGCAAACGCATGCGCTTTTATTTTTTAACGTTATTTTAAACCTTATTGCGGATAGCCCGTTATTTCCACGCATTTTCCAAATCCTTTTGCTTATCCTTTTTCGCAAATAACGCTTTTTTCCGTTGCTTTTTTTCGGTTTGCTAAATTTTTTTATTTTTTTAAATAGCGCTTTATTTGCTTGCTTAGCTTTAATTGCAAAAATAACTATAACCGCTTGCAAATTTGCTTTATACGCGTATAAAATAAAATTAATAAAAACGTAACAAATTAATAAAAAAGCAAAACGTTTTAATTTATTCCTTTTGGGCTTAAGCTTACGTATTTTTTTTCGCGCCGGGCGCGTTTTTGGGCAACCGCGCGCGTTTTTTTTTTATTAAAAATTCCCATTTTTTAACCAATTTATTAATATTGCACAATGCTTTTAAAATACCGCGTTGCCGCGCAAAATATTTACGATTGTTTAATTTAAATTTACAAATATTTTAAAATTAATAAAAAATTAATACGGTTAAAACGAAAAAATCGGAATTTACGCTTTAAAAAAAAAAGGTAATAAAAAGGAAAAAAAAAAGTTAAAACGAAATGGAATTTTTTTTTTTTAATCCGTTACGCTTATTTATAGCTAAAACGCTTATTTCGTTGTTTTTTATAGCTAAAGCGTTTATTTCGTTACTTTTGGAAACGGAAAGCACTTTTTTCGTTATTTTTTAAAATTAATAATATTTTATCGTTACTTTTAAAAGCGCGGTAAATTTTTAAAACCAACGCTATTTATATAGCAACCCGTTTTTTTTTATATTATTTACAAGCAACCCAAAAAATTCGCTTAAAAAATGTATTACAAAAAAACAATATATATTGTAAAAAAAGTTTTTAAACGTAAATAGCAAATGTTTAAAGCATTGGAAAAGCGGTCCTTTTGCCTAAAAGCGTATAACGCTTTTAAGCATTAGGAAAAAAGCTTAGTAAGCAAAAAGGACGCGGGAATTACGTGTATATAAAGGGCAAAGGCTTTTACGGAGCCCTGCACCTCAAATCCCTTCCTCCTTAAAGCATATCAACCGGAATAGCCTCACACCGTGTCTATCCCTTCTGCCTGCAACATTTCCTTATTGCTCACTTTCACTACGGGATTAGTGAATTTACCAACTGACCCCCTGACCCACGGTCCGGCCCTCGTCGTCTCTGCCCAAAAAATGTGCGGCGCCTTCGACGTTGCGTGCACGGGCTCTGTGATGCATCCCAACCGGTGCCAGTCAAAGTCCCCGATAGCACCGCAAAAATGGCACCCGACCTTTCGCCGCTTTCCACACCTCGGAGGGCACGCCCAGCAACACCACAAGCGAGACGCACGAAGCAGAGCGAGTCGAGCCAGAACAAGTACATGAACATGCTCCCGGTAACTACCATACTACATACAATAAAGTTCCCGGATGTGGCCCGCTCCCAGCCCCTGCTCTCTGTGTAATTCTCTCTCTCCCTCTGTTATAATGCTGCTGTTTAATCTTTGCGCCCGTGAAGAATGTGCTGCATGAATCCGGTGGACACATCGCCAACTTTCACCATGAAGAGCGCCGTCCAGTGCGTGCGGGTGTCTTTCTGGCTCTCATGAGGAGGCATTCTGACAATCCACAACATACGTCGGTTAGCGGAAACATACATTGCCACTTATCTCTGTCTGTCATGGCCAATATCCTTGGGCGCAGCAGCAAGCCAATAGCTGTTTTGAAGGATCGGGCGAGGGATATAAAAAAAAGAATAAAATAAAAACGTACACACAAGCGATTTCTTTAATTTCGGGTGCCACAAGGCCCTTGTCGGCAGCAGTCTGGGTATCAGCGAGGAACTGCTTTATGGTCTCTGGCGATGTGTAAACCCTCTTGTATGACTCCGTTTGCGTAGCGAGGGCAAGTTGGACGCTGTTACTGCCGTTTTTGACGACCTGGTGGACGAGCTCAGTTTTGAGGACTTTGGACATGGTAATGATGGAGGGGTTTCTTGAGTACCAAGGAGTCTGTACTCGAAAGGATCTTGAAGAAATTGCGTGGAAAGGTGGCTGCAAACGAGCTGTTAAGGATGACAGTCTGGAGTCCATCGAGTTTAATACATACTGTTTTCACCAGCTGTAGGCAGCACACGATGGGCAGCGCCTTTAGCTGAGACTTGATGTCGCGCAGCAGCGCTTGCGATGCCGGGGGGCGCCAAAGGCCGTGAGGGCACGTTCCCGTTTGTTGGCCTGTCCGCTGCCGACGTCAAGGAAGGGGAAGCAGAGGAAGAGAAGACAGTCAACAACGGCGCTTAGGTGTGGCGCACCTGCGGCTAACCGGCGCGTTGGTCATACAGGGTGAACGTCCACGCCTCTGCGAAAACGCCCCTTTGGACCTTGCTTTGGCCCGGAGAAAGAGACCTCGAGCGAGGACTATCGCCCAAGTTGTCTCTAGGCTGCCTCCGGGGGCGACTCCAGGATGAGGTCCATCACCTGCACGGCGTCCAGGGTGGTTCCAAAGCTGCTACAGTAGGAGCATGTTGGCCAGGGCGAAGGCCGAAACCTGGAATAGACGCCCCGACCAACCAGGGTGCTTCAAAGCTTCAGCCTCCTGTCGAGTCCACCCAGAGCGCGCCGCCGCATCAGTAAGTTCCCGAGGCACCGCCCACCCCGCGCCACACATGATTTGCTGCAACATGGCACGTACCTTGGTTGAGGCCCCCCAGCGTCAAGCGCGAAAAACCTCTGCCCATACAAAATCTGCCATCTAAACGGTCGCAGTTCTGAATCTCTCCTCACCATGTTTTCGCGCACAATCAAGCGGTATATGCAGCCGCCTTTCCGGTGTCCTGGCTCGCGCTGCTCTGTTTCCTTTGCTCAAGCAATTTTGCTTCGGCTATGTGCGCAGCCTTTTCGCCCAGCTTTTGGTTCGTTCCACGCCGCATTCGCCAGCAACATGTCCTCCAACGCCACCCAAATACCTTTAAAACCGATTGCTGGGCCGCAGCCGCTGCCCCTCGGGACGAATATTGCTTCCCTTTCGGGCAATTCCTACGTTGTTGACGAGGTTTTCCGATACCGGTGCGAAAGGGACGTAGCTATCGGCGTATACCGCGCAACGTAAGTCGACCCTTTCCTCCCACGGTCTTGATCTGCCCCGGGAAACACGTCCAAACTGCAAAATTTCTAACCCATTATTTGCTATAGCTCCGAAGGCACCCGCTATGTCATCAAGGACATCTGGCCCGGCCAGTTTGACCGTTTGGTCAAGCTGAACAAACTCGTGGAGCATTCACCCCACGTCAGGACCGCCGTCGATATAATTCCCGACCGGCAGATGCTTGTCTTCCCTCATCGCAATCTGGACTTGCTCAGTGCCAACCCCGCGGCCATTCCCGCTGCTGCAAAAAAGGGCATCATTAGGGATGCTCTTTCGGGCCTGGCAGCCCTGCACGACAAGCGAATCATTCATACAGGTCCGCTTACCCCACGTTTCATCCAGCCCTTTCATCCAGCCCTTTCATCCAGCCCAGTCGACGAGTACTAAAAATTGACGTACGCAGACATCAAACCCGACAATATAATGCTGGACTATATAAAGCATCCCGACAACTCACACGAATTTCGCAATGTCCAAATCACCGACCTCGAAGACGCGTTTGCAATTCCCGACGATGCGCCCGGGGTCACCGGCCGCACTTATGGGAGCCCCTACTGGAGAAGCCCCGAGTCGTGGGCCAAGGCGTGCCAAGATGTTTCATCCGACATCTTTTCCTTTGGCCTTTTTGTAAGGCGCCCTTTGCAACACCCTTAATTGGCAGAATGCTTCCTTCAGCCAATGAACGCGTCCTAATACGTCTTTTCCATTACAGGCAATCCGCGTTTGGATAGACTTCATGGTCCTTCACATGAAAGGGGTCAAAGACGCGCCTTTGTTCGAAGAGCAGATGAAGATTGTTATGCCCCGGCTCCTCATCTTTTTGGGCGGGGGCCCGGGCGAGGGAGACATCGAGGACATCAAGGAATTTATATCGATGCACGAAGGGACCCCGTTTGGCGACTACTGCTTTGACGTCGTCAACGGCAGCAGTGTATGTCCCATCAGTCAATGGAAGGTCGTGGCTCCGCCAACACCCTACATGGAACCGCAGTTTGTGGATCTAGTGTCGAGGATGACCTGTATGACGCCCTCGCGGAGGATTACGGCTCGCGAGGCTTTGCAGCACCCTTGGTTTGCGGATTAGGAGATGGATGTAAAACTTGTTTTCTATCTAGCTATCTGCTGAACACCGGAATACTGCGCTTTCGATAAATAAATTTAGGGAATGAATCGAATTACGTCTCCTTCCTTGGGCTCGGCAATAAAACCCTCCGGAAGCTGCCCGTTGGGTGCCACCTGGTGCTCCTCTCCCCATTTACGTACAGCTTCATAGTCCTTGCATTTATGAAGCGTATTGAAGTCAGGGAATGCCTGTACAACAGTGGCCTCGGGTTGAAGCGTCCACACCTGCCCCAGCACACCCGTATCTACATTGCACATTAAAACCTGCCGAAGGGTGTCAAGGCAATGCGCTTCCCGGATTACAAATTTATTAGCTTCGTTGGTTGAGCGCTCTAACGCCTCTATGCTACATTATGAGTGAGGGGGCACGCCCGCGAAGCCACGACTTACTGATATGGTAGCGGTTTATCTGCTCGTCCGAACCAAATGCCGAATCTCCGACTGCTTTGTAGTACTTTTGATTGAAGTACAGCGATTTCCGAACGAGGTTCTGGGGGGGCCCTGTCGCATTAGATGCAGATGCTGGGGCTCTGGGTAGCGATGGCTGCCGGCGCGTTTGCAGTCTACAGAGCCATCGAGGAAGCCACCGGGATGTACGCCAGGACGACTTACCAAGCAGTGAAGATGGTGTAGCCCCTCCACCTGGACAAAGTAGCCTCCCCCGTACTCCTTGGCGCGTTTGACGTGATGCTTCCCCAGACCACTCGCCAGCGCTTCCGACTCGGGTATAACGCTGGGCCTGTCTGCGGGCTGGGTGTTAGCCAGAAGGTTACAAAGTAGGTGGGCACCAGGTCGATGGTGCACTGAACTTGGGGGAGGGAAACTCAGTCCCGAGTGGCCTCACAGTCAACCCCCAGCTTCTCCCATGCCTCATCCACATCTGCAGCGGGAGGACGGCGGTAAATGGTTTCCTTCATGAAAGATCCGTTAAAGGCGACGGTGAAGTACGACATGCTTTTGCCACCCAAGATTGGCGCTTCGGCGCGTCAGTTACCACTTGAAAGCCGGCCGATAGGGGTCCCTTGGATAGGCGCCTCCCCTGCGGTAACTCACAGTAGGATCTTGCGTCGGAAGAGCAGGGCAGGCTCGATGCCGTTTTGTACCCAGGGATCCCAGCTACGAATAGTATCATCGGGCCCAAAAGAACCCCTAGAGCAAAGGAAACGAGGTGGCTGGTCCGCAGGCACCGCTGCTGATGCTGCTGCTGCTGCTTCTTGTCGATGTCGGGAACGTCCCGAGCAGCAGGCGGCGGCCACTGGTGATCTTCTTCGTCGCTGTCCTCGGTGGCCCGCGTGAGCGGGACGCTTTTCTGCCGGGCCTCGCCCGGGAACATGATGGAAAAATTCTGAAGCCAATGTTGCGAAAGGGCACAAAAGGGGGCCAGAGGCATGGGACGACCATCGATCTGGGTCAGGTGGTGAAATTGACCGGAGAGTGGCCAGGTGGAGAGATCGGGGGGAGGTAGATGACGAAAGGCAGGGAGGGGCTGGGATGGGCGAGCGCTGCCTTCTCCCCGGGCCCCCACGGGGCGATTGCGCATCGGATGCATGTACAGGGGGTATAGGATGTAGGACTATCAGTAGGTGTATTCCGCGTGTCTGTTACGTAAAGACCTAGAGGGTATGTACCCTCTACCTAGACCAAAAGGACTAAAAAACAAGTCGGCACTTGTTCTGAATAGGAGGGCTATAATGGCCATGGCGTTGAGCCACAGCGCCGTGCCATAACATCGATGTTATGGCGCGGCGTGCCCTCCCGTGCACTGGCAGCCTTGACTCCAGTGGGCGGTTGGGTGTATGAGACCCCTAAGCAATCCAGGCTGGCAGTCTGGATTGTCCTGGCTTTTTAGCTGATATGGGAGGGGTCTCTATCTGTCTAACTGCCGTGACAGCCACTTCCAGTGCGGCGCAACGGGAAGGCTAAAACAAAGCAGCGATCCCACCACCTTCATCCTAACCTATTTACACGGAGTCGGATAATTGATCCAGCATTAGAGGGTAGTTGGTTTTTCACTGGTGTTGAGCACATCTATTCGCAGACAAGACTTTGCGCGGATCATCAAACCAGTTGATTTAAGGAAATAAGTACTCCAAACTCTCCATCCTTGGTACATTGCCCATCTACCTCATTTATGTAACCATTCGACCAGTACAGCTCTCGAATGCATCACACGCTGATTCGAGGAGGATACCCCCAAAGGTAGAGGCAGACACATTAGCCGCGACCGGCCAGGAAACGCTTGACTGATAGAGTACCCGAACGCAGCCAGGAGGTTGGGCTCTGGATATCCACAAGATGAGCGAGGTACCCCTTCTCGAGAGCGTCAATGTCGAGGTACTCGGGGCCAGTAGGCAGCTGGGCCGGGTGTGGAGGGTCAGAAGCTGCTTTGACGGAGGGTAAAACTGGCTTGGGAGATGGGGAGGAGGCTTCATACCCATCGTTCGGGCTGCTCCCATTTGAACTTCCCCGAATACGAGTATGACGCAACCCACCCCCCACGGGTGGCGGCCTTGTCGACTGTCTGGTCCGTCAAAGGGGCCTCGGGGAGTCCAGGGTCATGGGTGCCGTCGGCCTTGGCGTGCTGGTTCCGACTGCTGTTAGCACAACATCCCCCCGGCGAGGTCCGGAACCTCATACCTCATGGTGCAAGGAGGGAGCCACGGCCATCGAGGTCACGCCCACGGCGGCACCAACGACAAAAAGAAGCTTCATGTTGTCCGTATGTTTGTCTGTGTATGCCTTTGTTAGGACCTGTCCTCTTCTTCTTCTGTCTCCTCCTTCCCTATGCTGGGTCGCTGGCTCTATATGTATCCCATGACCTCTGACCGAGGGCGTAGTGTTATGCAGGCCTAGAGGCCATCACACCACTTTGCATACCATACCCCGCTCGTCCCGCTTGTGCAGCTCTGCAGTTATCGCCAAGCAATACACCAACCTGCACATCTTGTGCGACGGCTAGTTGAGCGGGCCGTGGGGGTGAGAATTCGGATACACTGTGGGCCGAGACCTCTTTCTTGCTGCTTTGAGCCTGGCTGGCGAGGGGGGAAGCGCACATAGTAGGTACCTAGGCAGTTTGCTTGCCAACCAAACCAGAAATCACATGGTTCCTGGAGCTCCAGTGTTTCCCTTCCTTCTTTTCACACATAACAAAGGAGAGAAGCGGTCTCTCGGCGCCCTTTTCAACCCAGCGTTAACAAGGAAAACAACCATTGCCCCAAGGCATCATTGAGCCATGCCCGATAATGCCTATAGCTATATCCGCCTGCGGAATCTGAGGGCGGGCGTGGCCGGCGACTCGCCTCACGACGATAACCATCGCCCTTCGGCGAAGCACCAGGCACGCTCGAGGGTTCTCCTCATCCGCTCAAAGCTGAAATCGATTATCTTGGCAGCCTCGCTCGTCTTCAACTGCTTCTTCCTTCTCAAGATTCTAGCGATAAACAGTGTACGCGACCGGCTGGTCACATACTGTAAGCAAGCTCTTGTTAACCTTGCTGCTCCGTGATCAACTGCGGTAGACAGCTGTTGATAACACATGTATCTTTTAGCACCTGCTCAGGAGGCTATTCAGTACGAGAGAGTCGTGTTTTCGAGTGCCTTTGGTATCGAAACATCCCCGTTCCAAGGCGAACCTTCCCCAGAAAACGACAAGCTCTGGGCAAACCTCTACGACTGTAGGACTCCCGTCCCTTCGCCACCGTGTCATCCGGATAAGTCTTCAACATCTCGCCTGGAAGGCGCTCTTGTTTCTGTTATCTAACATAATCTCATACCTGAAGTCGCAATATCGAGGATCAGCACGGCCGAGGCTCGCCACATGGACAATAAAACCTTGCCAATCCCAAACGATCGTGGCAGATATATCGTTCAGCTCGCCGTATTCCATCAGCTCCACTGCTTGGTTAGTACAATTGCCCCGTGTATTGTCTGATGGTGCGATACTTACAGGCCTCGGAGAGCCCGCGGCCGAATAGAACATTCTCCGAAAGGGCATCTACGGTGCCGTGGATATGTCAAACACCGATGACCTCCTTGGGATAGAGCATATGGACCATTGCGTCGATATTCTACGGCAGAGTATCATGGTGAGCAATATTCAATTGATCCTTTTTCTTTTTCTTCTTCTTTCGACCGCGCAGTGGCTATGATTCTGACCGAAAGGTGCCACTGTCCGGAACAGTGCAACAGCGACGTCACACCCACGACATTCGCCCGTAAATCGCTTGACTCCGACATGAAGCTTGTCGCCGAGGTTGTTCATTCTTGTCGGGATTTCACCAAAATTCAGCAGTGGGCATGGAACAGGCGTCTCAAGTCAGAGTTGGACAAGACAACACTGGTCACCGACGACCCTCTGGGCTGGGGAACGTACACGTACTCACCCTGAAAAGTCGGGGGTCGAAAGGAATGCGGAACTTGAATGATGCTTTGAGCATTGTCTCTCTCCTGACATCTCTTAACAAGAGATCTCAGATTCCTCCAACCCATCCAGTCTTGACGATGAAATAAAGCTGTTTTGTCCTCTTTCTGCGACCAAATTCCTCCTTTTGCTGTTCCTGGAAGATTGGCGAGGTCGTGTTTTTGTCCATCGTCCTTGATTGCTCCAAGCAAATAGAAACACGGGAATGCCGAGGTATGAACTATCCCAATGTCAAACCTCCACAAACATCCCAAGCTCAGAGTCGTGCTCAGCCACCCACTCGGCTATCTGCGAAAAGTTGCGGCAAGTGTGGATTGTGGACACCCGAGCCTCGGGCTGCTTGCTGCCGCGGTCGGTGTAAAACAGCAGGCCAAGGTCCCCGTGGCACATAATGTACTGGCGCAGAAGATCTATGCAGTGGTCTGCCGCAGAATGTCTGTTGTGAGTGAAATCGGGCTTGTTTTAAAGAGAGGATGGCTTGTGCTTTTGAGAGCTGGCATACCAACGTGCTCAAGCACAATCTCGGGAGGGTTCTGGAAGGTGTCGACATTCTTATAGTCGTCCCGCCATATGTACTTTCGGGTGATATCGAGGCAGTGGAGCTGGTGAAACATCTCGACGGTCGCATAATAGTGACCTCGGGTGCCCTTGGTGGGCTTTGATGTTGGGTCGAATCTCCGGAGCGTCTCCTTGTCCGCCAATATCATTGGGTCTGTAACTCGGATTTACGTGAGCGCCTTCGTGTGGCAGGGCCTGAAAAGGGCGATCTGTGCGCCGCCGAGGAGGATAGGGTGCTCACGGTCAACCAGCTTGTCCCAGGCATCATCCAGTTCTTTCCGTGGCTGGCCTTTGTAAACCGATTTGGACCCCAGGTCTGCCTCGAATCTTTTCGGGGCAAACTTGGCCAGTAGCTCCAATGGATCTTAACGACAACATCGAATCAGCTAGGGATACAGAACTCGGAGCAGACGCGTGGTTGTAGGAGCGGTACAACCTACAGTGGCTTGACCTCGTCGGTGTTTGTGCCGCGGCCGAGAGAACACGGCCAGGCGACTGACACAACTCCAGCCGACTCAGGTACCAAAGGTTCAGGAAAACAGAAGTAAAGAACAGAACAGCATTAACGAGCAGGGCCGCGCGACCTCGACCAAAGCCATACCGAGGCTTGCTGGCTTCTCTGTCGACCTCTGCGTCCATTGCTCCCCAGCCGCAGTGTTGCCGTATCAAAGAGAAAACGCGAGTCTCCGGGGAAGCTCAGTCGATGCAGATGAGGGGGCGTCGGGAACCCGCAGAAATCTTCCCTCCCAGCCGCTCGAGGTTGCTACATAGCCAGCGGGCATCATCGCCCCAGACAGTGCACCATGCACCGTACAGCAACACAGGGAACCAACCGAAAGAAAAAATCCGAACCGCAAAAGGTGGTCGACATGACCCCAGGCTGCACATTTCCCGCCTCAGCCTCCTCAAACCCGTTTATTGGACCTGCCGCACCTTGCCATCAGCTCGTTGACCCGATCAGCCGGCTTGCTGGAGGGCTTTGGGGCAATCGCGGATGGAAGTGGTCGTGCCTCGCGACAGCTGAAGCATCGGCTCCCCTCGATGGGCTTGCCCTGCTCAACGGGGGCCATGGAAAGGCTACTCGTAACCAGGGTTCGGAATTTAATCAGTCAATCAAGTCATCCTTATAACTTTAACTTAAAGTAATTAACAAGTTATTTTAAAT